CAGCCCTCCAAAGGGTCATCAACGATTATCATTACAAATTAGAGGGAAAGCACGAATGTGGCTAAACTTTGGCAGGTAAAGCATTTGCCTCGTCTGCAGTTTCACCAGAATCTGGTTTATTTTTCTATAAAGGCATGCCGCATTCTTCCAGTAATGCGGCAATATACATGTACTTGTTAAATACCTAAAGGGATATAGTCACTGACTGAAGAAACTTCAATTCTTTATCAACTTCATTTTCTTAAAATTACCTTTCTGACAGGATTACGTTGTCTGTTCTCCGGGCGGCAATCGATTTTTCCTTTTCTTCTGTTGCACTGACAAAAGACAGGATTATTTGCCTGTCTCGCGGGTATCTTGGTAGGCAGTTGGTCAAACAGGCTGCGGCCTTTTTGAATCCTTGATGATATTTCCAAAGAAAGTGGAATGTCATTCAAAGGTTTATATCCCAGTAGAAGTACTTTTCAAAATATCAGTATGTTTTTTTTTCAATCAATTAATAAAGTTTAAATTGAAACGTCGACATCGGGCGAGGAAAATGACTTAGGACAGAAATCGCGTGAGGCGCATAAGTGCACTGTACATGGCATTTTAAATTATGTAATGAACTGGAAAAGGAACTAAACAAACACGACCTCAGAATAAACATACAGATGTATGTGCATATTGAAGCTTGGAATCGCTGATGTTTACTGTTGAAATGTCAAATATTCCAAAGTTTTAAATGATTTCAATTCAAGGACACGTGGGTTGCGGTTGTGTTCGTACGAAGCAACTTTTTGGAGGGAAAAGACGTGCCCTATTTAAAATTTTGTCTCCCTCATTTTGGGAAAAAAGGTTCAATAAAACTGAATAAATAATGATAATTAATATTAAGGCTACAGGCCTGCTCTGCTAGTATAACTCGCTTCACCACGTGGCACCTACCTCCAACTATTTGTGAAAAGGTAAGGAATTCTCTCAAAGCGGTGTTTAACGCCATCGGATCCCGTAAGATCATCCGAACGGTCCCCGTTGAACACCCCACAGATACCGGCGGTGTTTTCAAAGTCGTCACTGGGCACCGTCAGGTAAACACCAAGACTACGCCGGTTAATTAATACCTTTAGATATGCACCCGAAGTGAAAAATACCTTGGAAAAGATATCAATAAATAAAGTAATTTCAAATACATTTAAAATAAAATGATGTTTAGAAATAAAGGAAGGACCGTGTACGAGGCACAAGGGGGTCTTTTTGAGGACATTAATTTTACAAACCCGTATCTTGGTTTGACGGTGTAAATACAAAATGTCATAAATAAACGGGCTGTTCCAGCAAAGTATGTCCATTGGTTGCACTCTGAAAGACAATAATCAACACTAAACAGTTAACATCCAATATGTACTTCTCCCTAAGCTGTATCTCTCTTCCAAAAATAAAGAAATGAATTCATTAAAAATTTCTGATCACCATTTATGGCACGTTTCTGAAAAAAATAACAAATATAGGCCTACTGGTTTTTTAAGTCAAACAACCAATTCGTGTGTAATTGAATAATTTTTTCATATGTTGATAGTCAGGTAATGCTCACCTCAATGATTCTGCCATCTTTGTTACGCTTTATAAGCGTCCCTGCCGCCAATCTACCTTTGGACTTCACGTGAGTTGTTACTCGCATTTGTTTCATGTTTAATCCAACACTGTGACATCCGTCAATCAAGATGACGTCATTGACTTCGCGTGCAGCCACGCCGCAGATACAGCTCGCCCCGCGAGGATTACATTTCCAGGTGCGCATGTGAACCTGACAACATTTAGATTTAACACTGAAACTTGCATATATCCACTTTCGGTGTTAATACTAAGGTAAAGGCTCGCCTTTTATTGGGTTGAGTCCGTTCATACAAGTAAAGGTTAATGAGACGTGAGTGGGCCAAAAAGTATACTAGTAGGACGGGACTTAGCTGTACAAACCACCAGGGACCTGCATGACTGGCTGCTGTCTCACAGTTTAATACGGCCCGTAGCCAACAATTTCAAAAGGGGGGCTCTTTTTCTGAAAAAGTGGACCTTTTCCCATAAAAACTTCGTGTACCTTGATCAAATTTTACCCAGAGCGGACATTTTCCCTGCAAAAAGGGGGAGTTCTTTCGAACCCCCCGAACCCCCCCTCCCCCCTGGTTACGGGCCTGTAATACATCATGGTTTGGATATTCATAGGGACGGGAGTTTGAAATACAGCGCTATGAGACCTTACCTGCGGCAAGGTTACCGTTAGCATGTAAGACCAAAAACTGAGGCAAGGCCACAAGGAAACACGTTGTATGTACCGTGTTGTATGTATTCAGCAACAATAAATAAATAAAATTCTTCCGAAGAAAGGTAGCATCTATACGGCAAATGTTATACGAAGGCAATCCAAACAGTAACCATACGAACAGTAGGGTTTCCATTAACTTACCTCGAATGGTCGAGACTTGCTCTTAGCCAGTACAAACTCGCCAACGCTGTACATATGAAAGGTTCTGAAACGGAAATTGGTTGGGTGGAAACAGGAACAAACACGGAATGGCCACAAATATGCTTTGAGCGTCCGGGCATTTTCTTTCAAGAATATTTTTTCCCTTGAACATTGCCTTACTCTCATTTTTGAGCGTATCCCGATATGACGACCATTTAATTCAAAGTATACCCATATCCCTTGCAATTAAATATCACTAGAGCCAATGAAAAATCTACGTGTATATCACCGTATCTCTTTCTTATTCAATGATCTAGTGGATATGCAAGTTCTTACTCTTTCCGATCGAATGGGGTGCAGTGTGGGTCTCCGGTACAGCTGCACATGGCTGTGGCATCGCTGCTACTCTCGACCTAAAACACATTGGAAAGAACAAGTTTTAAAGGAACACAGAGAACGAATCATGTCATCCTCATCGCAAAGATGTCCTTGCAGCACAGTCGGCTGTTTCCTTGATTGGTTAATCGACTTGTTAAATGAAAAAAAAAAACAAAAAACGCAGAAAACGACGCTAGAACAAGATACTAGTCCATGAAGCAAAAAAAAAAAAAAAAAAAAAAAAAAATCAAAAATCGNTTATTTTCTTAAAATTACCTTTCTGACAGGATTACGTTGTCTGTTCTCAGGGCGGCAATCGATTTTTCCTTTTCTTCTGTTGCACTGACAAAAGACAGGATTATTTGCCTGTCTCGCGGGTATCTTGAGAGGCAGTTGGTCAAACAGGCTGCGGCCTTTCTGAATCCTTGATGATATTTCCAAAGAAAGTGGAATGTCATTCAAAGGTTTATATCCCAGTAGAACTACTTTTCAAAATATCAGTATGTTTTTTTCTTTTTTTCAATCAATTAATACAGTTTAAATTGAAACTTCGACATCGGGCGAGGGAAATGACTTAGGGCAGGAATCGCGCAAAGCGCATAAGTGCACTGTACATGGCACTTTAAATTATGTAATGAACTGGAAAAGGAACTAAACAAACACGACCGCAGAATAAAAATACAGATGTATGTGCATATTGAAGCTTGGAATCGCTGATGTTTACTGTTGAAATGTCAAATATTCCAAAGTTTTAAATGATTTCAATTCAAGGACACGTGGGTTGTGGTTGTGTTCGTACGAAGCAACTTTTTGGAGGGAAAAGACGCGCCCTATTCAAAATTTTGTCTCCCTCATTTTGGGAAAAAGGTTCAATAAAACTGAATAAATAATGATAATAAATATTTAAGGCTACAGGCCTGCTCTGTTAGTATTAACTCGCTTCACCACGTGGCACCTACCTCCAACTATCTGTGAAAAGGTAAGGAATTCTCTCAAAGCGGTGTTTAACGCCATCGGATCCCGTAAGATCATCCGAACGGTCCCCGTTGAACACCCCACAGATACCGGCGGTGTTTTCAAAGTCGTCACTGGGCACCGTCAGGTAAACACCAAGACTACGCCGGTTAATTAATACCTTTAGATATGCACCCGAAGTGAAAAATACCTTGGAAAAGATATCAATAAACAAAGTAATTTCAAATGCATTTCAAATAAAATGATGTTCAGAAATAAAGGAAGGACCGTGTACGAGGAACAAGGGGGTCTTTTTGAGGACATTAATTTTACAAACCCGTTTCTTGGTTTGACGGTGTAAATACAAAATGTCATAAATAGACGGGCTGTTCCAGCAAAGTATGTCCATTGGTTGCACTCTGAAAGACAATAATCAACACTAACATCCAATATGTTCTTCTCCCTAAGCTGTATCTCTCTAAAAAAAATAAAGGAATTCATTAAAAATTTCTGATCACCATTAATGGCACGTTTCCGAAAAAATAACAAATATAGGCCTACTGTTTTTCTTTTAGTTAAACAACCAATTCGTGTTATCTGAGTAATTTTTTCATATGTTGATAGTCAGGTAATGCTCACCTCAATGATTCTGCCGTCTTTGTTACGCTTTATAAGCGTCCCTGCCGCCAATCTACCTTTGGACTTCACGTGAGTTGTTACTCGCATTTGTTTCATGTTTAATCCAACACTGTGACATCCGTCAATCAAGATGACGTCATTGACTTCGCGTGCAGCCACGCCGCAGATACAGCTCGCCCCGCGAGGATTACATTTCCAGGTGCGCATGTGAACCTGACAACATTTAGATTTAACACTGAAACTTGCATATATCCACTTTCGGTGTTAATACTAAGGTAAAGGCTCGCCTTTTATTGGGTTGAGTCCGTTCATACAAGTAAAGGTTAATGAGACGTGAGTGGGCCAAAAAGTATACTAGTAAGACGGGACTTAGCTGTACAAACCACCAGGAACCTGCATCACTGGCTGCTGTCTCACAGTTTAATACAGGCCCGTAGCCAGCAATTTCAAAAGGGGGGCTCTTTTTCTGAAAAAGTGGACCTTTTCCCATAAAAACTTCGTGTACCTTGATCAAATTTTACCCAGAGCGGACATTTTCCCTGCAAAAAGGGGGAGTTCTTTCGAACCCCCCGAAACCCCCCTGGCTACGGGCCTGTAATACATCATGGTTTGGATATTCATAGGGACGGGAGTTTGAAATACAGCGCTATGAGACCTTACCTGCGGTAAGGTTACCTTTAGCATGTAAGACCGAAAACTGAGGCAAGGTCACACGGAAACACGTTGTATGTACCGTGTTGTATGTATTCATGCAGCAACAAAAAATAAATAAATAAATAAAATTCTTCCGAAGAAAGATAGCATCTATACGGCAAATGTTATACGAAGGCAATCCAAACAGTAACCATACGAACAGTAGGGTTTCCATTAACTTACCTCGAATGGTCGAGACGTGCTCTTAGCCAGTACAAACTCGCCAACGCTGTACATATGAAAGGTTCTGAAACGGAAATTGGTTGGTTGGAAACCGGAACAAACGCAGAATGGCCACAAAAATGCTTTGAGCGTCCAGGCATTTTCTTTCATGAATATTTTTCCCTCGAACATTGCCTTACTCTCATTTTTGAGCGTATCCCGATATGACGACCATTTTATTCAAAGTATACCCATATCCCTTGCAATTAAATATCACTAGAGCCAATGAAAAATCTACGTGTATATCACCGTATCTCTTTCTTATTCAATGATCTAATGGATATGCAAGTTCTTACTCTTTCCGATCGAATGGGGTGCAGTGTGGGTCTCCGGTACAGCTGCACATGGCTGTGGCATCGCTGCTACTCTCGACCTAAAACACATTTGAAAGAACAAGTGTTAAAGGAACACAGAGAACGAATCATGTCACCCTCATCGCAAAGACGTCCTTGCAGCACAGTCGGCTGTTTCCTTGATTGGTTAATCGATTTGTTAAATGAAAAAAAAAAAAAAAAAAAACGCAGAAAAATGACGCTAAAACAAGATACTAGTCCACCATGAAGCAAAAAAAAAAAAAAAAACAAAAAACAAACAAAAAAAAAATCGTTTAGTATTTTAACGCAGTTCATAAAATCGCCACACAACCCCTTACAGACCGTGAAATAATGGAAACTTGTCAGACAGAATCTCGGAAAATAAGTGATAAAAATCCAAATTGATTAGAAAATGCAATGGTTTATACTCTAAAACCATGTTGATTAGCCAATCAAGGTGACAGCCGATTATGCAATCACCAAACTCTCTGATATCAGGGACTTCTAAAATAACTTATGATATTTAAGTATGAGTGCCATACAATTATTTTCTAACAGACTACTAGCCCAACACAGTGATCAGAGTGTACAATTAACATATCTTCCCTTTATATTTTTCTTCTAATTTTCTCTTCTGCAAATTGAGAATCAAATGCATGATATTTTTGAATGCACACACGGTGAATTCAGATTGTTGAAGTAGACTGTCATGTTACACCAGCTCATTGAATCCTTACCTGGAAACTACACACAAGAAACCTGACTCAAATTACTATCGACAAGTAAATACACTACCAATAGCTTAGTTTTAGCTAGTCATCCTTTACTTAAATTTCATTATTCTGTCGACATTTCTGTCCTATATTCAATTTCTTCCATCCCCCGAATAGGGCACAAATTGGCTACTAAACACGAGTAAAATCACAGCGGTCTAGTGATGCCCCCAACCTTGACTTCTGAAATGCTCGCACTCCCCCTTTAGCGAAAATAAAATAAAATAAAATAAAAACCGACATTTTTACCCCGGTGCGCTGCATGATATTGTAAACTTGTCTGTGTCGATCATTTTTATTGCATATTTTCAAATTCTGATATCATGTATTTTACTCTTGTGCAGCTCCCCCTTTAACAAAGTCCCAACTCTGCCAGTGGTATAATCAGACATTTTATGAGCATTCCTTGTTAATAATAATAATAATATTTTATCAAACTCTAAATGAACATTGTCACATTTGACAACTGTATCTACACCATGTGTTTTCATAAAGGATGTATGAAGGGCATGTGGTTAACCAATCTTTCTCTTTTAATCATTCTTTCCTTTCAAATTAAAATTGGATACTGCCGGATGGCCATTACAACACGGTACTTTATATTGCTAACGCGCGCTGAATTATAACTTAAGGTTCTAAAGTTACACCAAGTCGTGTTATCTTTCCTTGAAAACTTCATCCAAGTAACCTGAAGCAGATTGTCATTAAGATAAAAACATACTACCAATACTTCGGTTTTAGTTTACCGTGCAGTTATCTCTTTTTTCATCTTTTTACCACGCATTTCTTTCTCTCTGACTGTCCTATTAATAAACATTCAGCGAGCGTTTATTCGTGACTACATAAGGCCTCTGTCAGTGTGCACGTCGTGAGTTCCGCTGTAACAGCAAAGTACTTCACAGCTAAACCATGGAAAGAGTCACAAAAGTGGTGTTTTGTTTTCCGCTTTGGCTCTTTCTCACTTTCTTTGTACACGTCGCTTGTTCGACAGTAGATGATAACAGTGCAAGGGACTACCTCCGCCAATCAGCAGCTATGGCAAAACTCCATGAAGTTCGTATCCTGAACAGGGCTCTATTGAAAGGTATTGGAGAGAGGTGCCCGGACGTTCTGGCGACGCTGGAGTCAAACCTGCATTTTAACAAACGGGAAACGCCCAAGATAAGCTTCGGCCGCGATTTCCTGTTAAAAGTGGCAGTTGACACGTTCTATGAGCTGCTTGGTTTGTACAACAGCTGTCTTCTAACAAGTAAGTTTTAATGTGCAAGATCAAGAATGTTTTCTTTTTTCTTTTCAGATGTGGATCAAAGGAGAGGGAAGCCAAAGGGCACAAGTCGTTTCTTTAACATTTCCTTATATTCCCTGTTTATATGCCTTGTTCATATCCATTTGTAAAGCTAGCTTTTAGGTTTTCTTGTAAAATCCTAGATTAACAGTTTTGGAGGCACTGAGCGCGAACGT